ATTTTATGTTCCCCTCAAAACCATACAATTTTTGTCGAAAACGTTTTTCTCTAAAATGCTTAGTTTTTGAATGAAAAGGGGTGTACGGATGGTTTGGGACACCCTGTATATGTACAAATTAATATTGTAAAAATTATGTAAAAATTAATATAATTTTTTTTTCACTTTTTCTTTAAAATTTTTCGTTAAAATTTAAATATCAGCTTTTAAAAAGAAATGAAAAAGAGCATATGCAGGGAGTCAGGAAAATTTTCGCAGTCCAGAATAGATAGGAATGTATGTGGGAAGAAGTCGGACGTGTATATATGCCCATTTAATCAACGAGCAACAGAATCTATCCGTGGCATCCGCATCGACGCATATCCTGTGGAGAGAGTATTCACACATCTTTCAGCCCAATGAATAATTGCTAGAAAACAATATTCACGGACTAGAAATATATGTGAGACGCAAGTGGCTGGATCGGGAATCAAACCCGAGTCTTTCGCTTTTTGGGCAACTGCTCTAGACCACTGAGCTATCCAAACCTCACACCAAATGTTGCTTTTTAACACAGTGATATGCCTGGATGATACTCCAGAGCGATGTTGATATCTCACTCGATGAATACAATGCCGATCGCCACGGATGATCTCTGAAAGGTCGCTCGCTGACCAAATATTTATTTCTCACTCACCATTCCTTCCTCACTCACTGCTTCGCCGCGCGCCTAGTATAAGGTTAGAGTGGGACGACTCTTGTCGTCGTGCGCTTCTATTCACGCAAATTGGCCGATTTTGTTTAATTAATTTTTCGTTAATTAATGCGAATGTCGCAAAATAATATAGGACCTTCCTTCTTAATTTAAACCAATCTACCTTTACACTTCGAGACTGCGAAATTTTTCCTGACACCCTATATATATATATATATATATATATATATATATATATATATATATATATATGTAATATAATTATTATTTTTAATTTTTATAAAAATAATTTGTTTTGTTAACAAATTGCTTTAGACTCTGAAATATTTAATATTTAAGAATAGTGTGTCTACTTATTTAGGTCTCTTTGATGTGAATCGTTAATAAAAAATATTAATAAAAAAGGTATCAAGATATTTATTATATTTATTACAAGATATTAGGATATTTATTTTTAAATTTTATATTAAAAATGAATATTTTTCATAAATTAAAATATTTTTATTAATATAATTTTAAGATTTTTAGAAAAATATTTAATATTGAAAGTTGTAAAAAGTTGTGAAAAGTTGTGAAAGTAGTGAAAAAGTGCAATAAATGAGTAATCTTTTTTTCAATATTTTATAAAAAAACATTTTTTATTAGTTTTAAATATTATATGTTTAACATTTTTTATATATAAATTATTTAATATTTAGAGTGTCTAAACATTCAAAATTAGCTACAAATGCATTCTTTTGTTTTGTAAATTTCAATTTGTTATAATAAAAAAAACAAAGGGATCAAAGAAATATAATCGACCAAACTAGAGAACCAGAAATTAATTTATTAGTACGACGTTTCGACCATATGGTTGTAGTCCTTATCAAGTATATACTGGAAAGATTATAAATGATTACTGAATTAGTTAACGGTTTGAATATATAGCACGCTCAACGAATTAAATATAACAATTTTAGTATACCGATGTAATACAAATCAGGAGACCGGCATGGATGATAATCTTGTAAATTGCACAAGTCACATTAAACAAAAACATTGTTTTAACATAAAATTTGAATTCGAGAGAAATTAATGCGTCTGTGAGAGACTTCGTCAAGAGACTTTTATTACATCGGTATACTAAAATTGTTATATTTAATTCGTTGAGCGTGCTATATATTCAAACCGTTAACTAATTCAGTAATCATTTATAATCTTTCCAGTATATACTTGATAAGGACCACAACCATATGGTCGAAACGTCGTACTAATAAATTAATTTCTGGCTAGTTTGGTCGATTATATTTCTTTGATCCCTTTATTTGACTAGCGACTTCAAGATATTCATAACCTTTTAAAAAAAATAAAGTTATGCATAAAATTCTAAATTTCTGACATTAATATAAGTACTTTCGTATAAATAAGTGAATCAATCTTTGTATTGTATTTAAAATATAAGGTTTAAAAAAATATTAGAGTTATATAAATCTATTATCGAATAAGAGTTAAAATATTTATTCACAAAAGAGAACATCACAGTCGGGCAAGACGAAGATTTCTAATGGATCGCTAAACACAATATGTTCAAGCTATCTTGTGGTTTGGCGTGTCTACACGTGAAATGTATGCAGAATGCAATTTCGCTGAAAGCCACAGCCAACAGCTCGCGAAAGAGTCGCGTCGCGCGCCTTGTCGGACGCAATTCGAATGGAATAGCATGTGAAGAACGTCTTTTCGATCCATTCTTTAAATCAACATAGAACTCAACACGAACTCTCGTCAGTCTAAGATCGTAAACAGACTGATATGCTTATCGTCATTATACGAAAACATAACAATGCAACAAAATACGCTTGATTGATTCATGCAAATAATGCAATTTATCAATAAAAAATTATTTGCTGGAAAATGTTATATAAATAGCTATTACGTTTAAATATGTAATATTTTTATTTCTAGAGCTACATTGTAAGTATTATTTGTTTTTTTTCTGTATTGTTAAATAATTATTAGCATTTAAAGATTATTTTGTATAAGTAATCAATTGTAAAAATTGTGACATGAAATAAATGTTACATCGAAATATATAATAAATTTATAATATAATCATAAAAATATGTAAAAATGATAATTTTTAGCACAAGATCTATTTGGATTTCATAGAAATATTAATTGTAAAATACTTATAAAATAAGAAATTTAAACGAGTCAATTTAATTCGCCAAAATTTTAATTCAAAAATAAATATCGAAAGCTAGACTTAACAAATAATATAAATGCAATACTTTAATGAGTTTCTTTTTTTATAAATTTGGAGAGAGAGAAAAATGATTTCAGTTAATTTTAAAAATAAATTTATAATAAAATAATATTAAAATCTTATTTTTATGCATTTTATTTTATGCATTTTATTATATACATTTGCAGATATAGATATTTTTTCATTTTTTAATCACCAAGAAAAATATTTTTTATTTAAAATATCACTTAAATGTCTTAATTCTTAAATTCACAATCAGCCGAAAAGCCGGTTTTTTCATCTTGTGTTAGTTGTATGAAAAGAAATGATAAATAATTAGTATCTTCGGTTGATTGATCTCCTCATATTTTTATGTATAGAGATATCTTAATTTTTTATCGTTGAGCTAGATTTTGCACTGTGATACACTGTGATTATTAACTTTCAACTTGCAAATAATTTTGATTTGAAATACGATACAGTGCATAGATACATAAGCATGAAGTATAAAATGAATTAACACAACTTGTTTTCAAAATAATTTGAAATATTTTTTAATCATATTTTTTATATTTTGAAAATTGATAATAATTTTTTTATATTTTTTAATAATAAATACAAAATAATATTTGTTATATTTTGAAAATTGATAAATAATTATTATACATTATCTAATAATTATTATCAAACAATATTTATAACAATTACCACATTAAAAAAAATTAAAATTTTTACATCTAAATGTATGCACACATATGCATGAAGGATCTTTTGAATTACTGCATGCATACATTTATTTTCACTAAATCTAATATCAGTTACTACATTTCCGAAAGTTACATCGTGCGAAAGTTTATGTAAAACCGAATGAGATATAACGAGGATGCACACGTTAAATTATATTTAATGATGACGTGAAAACTGGTAATATGTCACCAGGTTTGACTGATGTTTACAAAACTTAGTGCATCTGAAATGACCATGTATCGAGCGGGAAACAATACGATCGACACAAGATAAATTGAAATTTTGGATAATTGTTTTCTACATGCATTCTCTCTCTCTTTTTTGTCTCTCTCTCTCTCTCTCTCTCTCTCTCTCTCTCTCTCTCTCTCTCTCTCTCTCTCTCTCTCTCTCTCTCTCTCTCTCTCTCTCTCTCTCTCTCTTCTCTCTCTCTTCTCTCTCTCTCTCTCTCTNTAATCTAAGGCAATTTAATGAAATTCAATGTAATAGCAATTCAACGTTAAAAGTTAAAAGGTTAAAATGATGTTTTATAGTTAAGTTGCTCATTATATAAATCTATCAATAAAACACTATACAAATTAAAACTATTTTACATTTTCCAAAAGAATAATTAGTAAACTATTTCTTACATTTCTATATGAATAATTTTTTTAACATTTTTCATAAACTTTTTATATGTTTCAATAAAACAACACAATAGGTTTTAATAATTATCAGAAAATAAAAAAATTTATTATTAAAACTTTTTTAAATAACGGATAACTTATAAAATGTAAAAAATTGTAAGAAGTTAAGGCATTGGCAGATAATCCTTGAGAATTTTGCAAAATTTTGTTTTAATCATTCTCAAAAATAAACAGGAAATAAAAATCATTATTACATTTTATAGCTGTCGATAAAAATAATATTTGAAACATTTAATTGTGGAATTTATTTATATTTATTAACTTATTGTAATATAAATTTTTTTATAACAAAATATCTTTTTATCTTTTAAATTAGTCAGCTTCAGTTCGGCTACTTCGACGATTTATGGAACCCTTTGCAGCAGTGCTAGATAAATCAAGATGTCGCATAATGCTTTTACAGATGAAAGAGGGTAACATGGATAACTTGGATAAAACAAAATCAGATTTCCCCTGTAGTACATTAACCCGAAAAGAAACATACTAAATGAGTAATACTATAACGCAAAGAATTTTGTTCGAAAAATGAAACCGTTGAATCTAATGATAATAAATGGTGGATTACCTTTGACTTTTGATCTCTCTCCTAGATTAAAAGATAAATATATTACTTACTGCTGTGTGTAAATATTTAATAAGACCATTTCGAAATACCTCATCGGTAAGTATATGTTGTAACATGCGCAGTATAGAGGGTGCTGTAATAATAATAAATAAATAAATAGATACAAAAATCGATATATGGTAAATATATTAGAAAAATCCATGATAAAATTCATAAATTTGTGAACATAGCTAATAAAAGAGATTGATCATTGTGATAGAGAGTGCATTTTAACAGAAAAACATTTATTTAATTTTATTGTTTCTTTTACTTTAGATCATCTATGTTCGGAAATTTGAGCTTGATGATTTATTTATTCTATCTTACACTTGTAATAACTCATGGAATGGAAGTCTGATTTTAATTTTATTGGGTCTATTGATTACTGATGTAATTGGACTCTTATTAATTCACCGCGAAGAATTATTTGCTGAATATTAACAACAAAGTATTCCATTATTCGCCACTCCTTGAAAATCTAAAATATACATAAATTTTAATATCAATTAAATAAAGTTTGATTGAAATTAGAAAAGTCAACATTATGAATTAATAACAGAATATCAGTTATGATGTTATATAATAATTAGTTTTTAAAGAAATCGTTTTCACCTTATTTTAAACTTTAAGTAATTGTAATCTAAAATTACACAGGCCACCGGAATTTTAAAGTTGATTAGCTACAAAAGGCAGAGTAGGTGAACCTGATAGATTTTTTGACACTGAAAATGAATCTGGTCGCAACATTTCTCCAGCATGTCAGATTTTTAAGTAATTTATAAATAATCCAAATATGGCAATTTCGGCAAATTTCATAAATTTATTATGGGAAAGTTTTTTGAAATATTTCTGTTAATGGTATCATCGTATATTATTAATCTTCACCTTTTAAATCAATTTTGAATTGTTTCTGCACGATTTTTTTTGTTGAGATATACAAGTCATAAGACTGATCATACATAGTGTCCAATAACCCTAACAGCATTCATGTCCGAAAGACGTCCAAAGAACATCAAGAGAATATTTAAGATATCTTCTGGATGTTCTTTAGACATCTTTTACACATGTGTGCTGTTAGGGAAGTCATTCTAAGCCGTGTTATTTCTGTCTTATCGTTAATCAAAATTTTATAAAAACATAAATTTTTGAACGCCGTCTGTCATTTTTTGAAATTAAAAATGGCACATCCATTATGACGGACGGAATCATAATAAAAAGATATAAAATTTAGAAAAATTTATCAACATGCAACAACTGTATTGAATATATTTTTACAGAACCTTTTTATGCAACTGAACCTGACATATGTAAGCCTTTTCAAATTTTAAGATGATGGATCTGCCATATTAATGTTAATGTACATATAAATTTTCTTTAACGTAAATTTTTTTTTTTAATTCATACTTGTATATCTCAGCGAAAAAAAATCGTGTAGCAACAATCAAAAATGTATTCGAAAGGTAAGATTAGCACTATATACGATGCCATTGGTAAAAATATTTCAAAAAATTAGGTTCTTGTATAATAAATTCATGAAATTCGTCGAAATTGCCATTTTTGGACAATTTAACTATAAATTACTCGAGAATTTGACGCTAGGAAAATTCTGCGACTAGATTCGTTATAAAATCGTCAAAAAATTTATCAGATTCACCTACTCTGCTTTTTGTAATTCACCCTTGCAGGCTCCTATGTTATTAGCGATTCATTCCTTTTTATCATATAAAAAGTTCTGAAGAATTCAGCTGTATTATATTATATTTGAATTTAACAGAAACATTTTTTCGAATGTTCAGTTATATGCAAATAAAACTTGTTGAACCTACCTGATTGAGAATATATTTTTCGAAGAACGTCGCCAAACCCTCACTTAACCATAAATGAGACCACCATGATGGAGTGACTACATTACTAAACCATTGATGTGCCATTTCATGTACTGTTGTCCTCGCTACATTTAGTTTAGTAAATATTGTATCGAAACTTTCATTGTATGCAAGACTTGTTTCACTAAAAATTACATAAATGCAGATATATTCATTTCAATGTGTAATATAATTTATAATTATGTAATATATCTAATATAAAACATTTTAACTTTTAAATAATTGTATATAAACTTAAAATTTATATATAATTATTTACAGTAAAAAATTTTTGTAATTTTAAAAATGTATATATACAGAGTGTCCCATTTAAAAGAACGCACCTCGATAATTCTTCAACGAAACATTTTCAGCAAAAATGTTTCAGATAATTACAATTACCAATTACATATTTTTTCATAAAAATAACTATATTCTTTCTTTACACCAATTGATTTATCTCATTATTTTGCACATAAAAGTATTAAAGTAAGACAATCGAAAAATGAATATTTTACTAGATATTTTATGTAAAATTCAGAAACTTTACTTCAAGCCTTATAACTCGAAAAGTGCTCAATGAAAAAATACTTAATTATAATGTTTTGAAAAGATCTTTAAATAAGCTATAAGAATATGCAATAAAAAGTGGGGAGTTGTGACCTTGAGTACTTCATCCAAGGGCAAATTCCTATCATTATTAAGTACATTTTATTTAGTCCTACAACTCTGTTCCTTACAAATTTTTATAGTTGATCGTTTAGAAATATTTTAGCGTTCCGGGATTTTTTGAACATTCTGTATATATGTGTGTGTGTGTGTGTGTGTGTGTGTGTGTGTGTGTGTGTGCGTGCGTGCGTGTGCGTGCGTGCGTGTGTGCGCGCGCGCGTGCACGCGTGCGCATTTATATACTTTAAATTTTAAAATTATTCAAAAGAAACAAATTTTATTTTGATTTCAATCTTAATTTATTTAAATAACCAAACATTTTCAAAACTATTCTTTTCATAAAAAAATAATTTCTATTATTTTAAAAATTAAAACAAAAGTTAATATTTCCAGCAAAATAAATAACCTACTTTCTCAAAATCTACAGTTATGATACGCAATACTAATTATACAGAATTATTAATTTCACAAAAGAAGAAAACAATTATCAATTTATATGACACAAGTAAAATGCGATATTTTAATGATATTTTTTTAAATTGTATATATTACACAAAAATAATAAGTCCCCAATTTTCCATAGCATCGACTCCAATTGTAAGTTGCGGGAGTGCTACGAGATCCATTTTTGGAACTTTAGAGGTGCTGTTGGTATATTCTGTCAATAACTTTTTAGATTTTTGAACAACTTCTTGTACAAATTTTGTGTGCGGCACCAATTCCGATCTACACCATATATTAATGGTCTCATCTTCAGTAGGAACACGAACGTAATCGACCACTACAAATGCTACGAGATAGGTAGACATGATGGGAGTCGTGTCAAAGTGCGTCCATATCATGCCATTTTTATTATCCTCCGATTTTTCCCGTATTGGCATATTGGATAGAACTGTATAATTTCGATGGTGTTTTATAGAGATATCGAAAGTAGCTTTTAATGCTGGCTCGTCCCAACATGGAAACGCTCGTCGCGCATAAGTCCGTTCGAAATGCGTTGCAGCCAACCACCTACCACATTTCAATGACACGCTTTTAATTATGATAAATTTTCCATTATCATGAATGAGGATAAGTGAATTACTTAAATATGGAAGTGCGGAAATGTGATTCATTACTTACGTTCGGATAATACATAAAATTTTTAGAGTTTGCACGCAGCACCTTATTAACATACATTAACATTATTGAATAAAGTAATGAAATTTATCAAATGCGTACGTGTTCTTCTTCAAAAATCTGTTAATCTTATTTTGTTACATTTTAAATATAATTATGCAACATATAACCAAAAATTTATATCTCAAAATTATATCTCAAAAATTTTTTAAATACCAAATTGAAAGAAATTTTACAAGTTAAAAGAAATTTTATGACAAAATTTTCCTTCGATATTTCACGAAAAATAGAAAATATGAAAAATCATATTACGTTAACAGGAAAATGCATAGAATTATGTAGATAAGTATTTAAAACGGAGTTTCCCAAAGTAAGCGCTATCGCCTTCCTGTGGGCGCTGGAGGGATCTGGGGAGGCATTGCTGGCATCAGGAACAGGGGGGCGTTGAAACATTTTTTAAACAAACTTATCTACTTGACTATAAATATACAGTTATGTATCAAATTTGATTAATATATTACGAATTTATTTAATATTTGATTTATTACTAATAATAGTAAGCAATCTTATGTTTATGTACAATTTCTTTGTTATTTTATTTTAATAAATAGCTTTAAAATTTCAGTTCCAAGTTGTTTTATTTCCAAACTAGCTTTTTGAAATTCAAAAATTACAAACACATTTACGCTTACAATTTTATTATTAGTTGAGATAGAGATAGAGATTTCTCGGGGGCGCTGAAAAAGATTACTTTTGAAAAGAGGGCGGTGAGCAAAAAAAAGTTTGGGAAACTCTAATTTAAAATATTGCATATACAGGGTGTCCTAGACCATCCGTACACCCCTTTTCTTTCAAAAACTAAGCATTTTAGAGAAAAACGTTTTCGACAAAAATTGTATGGTTTTGAGGGGAACATAAGATGGTGTCATTGGTTTAATCTTGGATGGCATCGTTAAGGTCAGGTTAAGGACATCTATAATTTCTTAAATGGAACCACCTATTTTTTATTGCATATTCTTATAGCTTATGTCGAGGGCTTTCCAAAACACTATAATAAAGTATTTTTTCGTCAAGTACTTTTCGAGTTATAAGGCTTGAAATCATTTCTTAATTTTACATAAACCATAAAATATCTTGTAAAATATTCATTTTTCGATTATTTTTTATATACAAATAATGATATGAATCAATTGGTGTAAAGAAAACATACAGTTGTATTTAAGAAAAAATATGGAATTGTTAATTGCAAATTACATATTTTTTCTTAGAAATAACTACGTGTTTTCTTTAAACTAATTGATTTTTCTCATTATTTTGTACATAAAAATATTAAGGTAAGCTAATTAAAACATGAATATTTTACAAGATATGGTTTATGCAAAATTAAGAAATGATTTCGAGCTTTATAACTCGAAAAGTACTTGATGAAAAAATACTTTATTGTAGTGTTTCGGAAAGTTCTCGACATAAGCTATAAGAATAGGCAATAAAAAATAGATGAAAATTGTGAATAATTTAATGTCGCTAGTCGAGTAATCAAAGGATCAATAGAAAAACTGTAGTCGATCAAACTAGCCAAAAAATTTTAGTTTATTAATACGACGTTTCGACCATGTGGTTGTGGTCCTTATCAAGTATACACTAAAAAAGATTTATAAATACATAAATTAACGGTTTGATTGCATAGCAACGCACAGGGAATTAAAGTGTGAAAGATTTTTACCGATGTAATAATAATCAGAAGGCACCATAACTAGTGAACATGTAAAACACGTAATCACATAATACAAAAAACGTTATTTAATTAAATTCAAATTTGAGAGAAGCTGATGCGTCCATGCGAGACTTCGTCAATAAACTAAACCTAACAGGAAGAACAACGGTACTAAGTGACCTTAATAATTTTGTCGTAAATATTATTCAAGTTATCTGTGTCAGTCTGTAAGTTGATTAGATTTTTAGATCTCTTGATAAAGAACATTTCAGCTATCTCTCTTTTGCGAACGTACTTTTCATTGTGCAAGATATTCGGTTTCGACCAATCGAAATCGTGTCCGGATTCTAATCTATGTTTGCTGATAGCGGAGTGATTAGACTCATGTAATTTTATATTGTTACAATGTTCTTTCACTCGGGTCCGCAAATGTCTTTTTGTTTGCCCAATGTATGATAAATTGCAATCCCTACAGTTTAATTTGTATACAACACTTGTCTTGTCGTTATTGTGTAAGGTATCTAAAAATGTATCTGTAAGGTATCTAAAAAATAGATGGTTCCATTTAAGAAATTAAAGGTGTCCTTAACCTGACCTTAACGATGGCATCCAATCAAGTCAAATCAATGGCACTATCTTATGTTCTCCTCAGAACCATACAATTTTTGTCGAAAACGTTTTTCTCTAAAATGCTTAGTTTTTGAAAGAAAAGGAATGTGCGGGTGGTCTAGGACACCCTGTATACAGAGTACTATATACAGAGCACTATATACAAGCTTGTGAGGAAGTAGAGTGCAGTAAACTGAACAGAAAAGTCTTATACCATTTTCGCAATAATGACAGAAATATTAAATATTAAAATCGGACAAATGAAATAAGAAGCGCTCCTTTCTTTCATCTAATTTTAATATTTAATTTCAGCTATTATTGCGAAAATTGTAAAATGGTATGAGACTTTCTCTTCAGTTTACTAATCTCTCCTTACAAGCGCTTGTATATAGTGTTCTAGGATGCCCTGTATACGCAATTATTAAAGTACGTCATTAAACAATGTCACATTAAGTCTTATATTTTATATGATGGTTAAAGTTCTCTTAGCATATGAAAGCGATATACGATAACGACAAATAAATAATAATAATAAATAATATTTAAAAAATAATACATATGATATTAGAAAGAACTTTTAAATATTAATATTTACTTACACATCATCTCCTTTGTCATTGATATAAGATGTTACAAAAAAGCCTTTCTTGAAATAAAAGTCGTTATGTAGAATACCAACATATCGCATCTTCAATGTATAATTTCCAGGTAACAGTTTATCATTAAAGTGAAGAACTAAGATTTGTGTTATATTATTATAATTATGCATTGCCGGTGTATGGATAATACCATTGTTACTAAACAATGATGTCATCGCTTCGTTTATTGTCAATTCCAATACATGTAAATGCAAATTTTGCGTTACATGTCGAATTGTAATGTTGATATTGGATTCTCCGTCAAAAGTAAAATTATCTTTCACAATGTACGGTATTAGCTTAATATTGTAATGTATCGGAACTACGTGATCTGGTAAACGGTAATTAATCGCGGAATCGTTGTTTGAATCTTTGTCAACAGAAATCGCTGTAGTAATAAATAATAGTCCAAGATTTATTAACAATTTGCAAATAGCCATGTTAATACTCTTTTCAAATATCTGCAAAAATATTTTCAGAATAACATGATATAAACTGTAATTTCTTTTTATATTTTATATTTTATATTATATTTTTATATTTTATATTTTTTATGATAGATATGATAGATTTTATATATATATATATTTATTATTTTATATTATTTTGTTTTTTATTTTATATTTTATATTTTGGAGATCTTAGCATTTTAACATATTTTAACGACGATGAAAAGTATGAAAAATAAACAATAAGATAAGATAATAATAAAATAGATAATAATACACAATAAATAAGGAAACAATATATATGATATTAGAAAGAACTTTTTTCAAATGTTATTATTTACTTACATAACCGATATTTAACTGACGAGATGAAATGCAGACTGTGAACTAATACCTTTTATTATTTGGTGTTCCCTAATCTGGAGGGTCCGTTAAAATGTCGCCCATTTATGTTGACGAACCCGAGGAAACTAAATCCGGAAACTAAATCCGTTCACTATTTAAAGCCACGGGAATGTCTATTATTTTCGACCACAATAGAGTTACAAGTCATCATTAAATATATGTATATATATTTAAATATATTTATGTTGTTGTTTTCGTTTCGTTTTCGACTTTGTAATTTAAAATGAGATCAAACAAACGATCACAAAATCACATGTTGTAGATAATTTTTTAATTATTATTATTTCAGTCAATTTATTTTAATTTCTAATATTATATAAAATTGACGCATAATCGTCCGTGGTCAGCTCATATTGCTCGCAAAAATTCAATTTTGTGTTTTCGCATAAAGCCTTATTAATCTCTTGAATGCTAACATTAACTTCATTTGGAATAACATTTTGAAAACTTGGAATAATTGCAATAGTGTCACTATAATTGTCATAGTAGTACAGTTTCCAAATAAATTACAATTTATATAAATAGTCTTATATATTGTATAGTCACAAAACTATGCAAAATTCGCAAGGTTGATAAGTAAAAATAAATTAAAAACACATACCATGAATTAATACTTGTGATGATTCATTAGAGATCAACAAAAGTATATTTGTAGAATTTTGTACATTAACTTGCATAGGGATTAAATAATATCAATCAATATTATCTTACTCATTTATGCAAACTAACTTCTTATTTTGCATATAAAATTCTAATAATTATTATTGTATCGTGTTCGTTAGCAAAATGATTCAGCACGTATTACGTCCATTTACTTCAAAAATGTCTATTTTTCGTTACAGTTAAATATAATGACTTATGAATTCATATATATAAATAAATGAATAAATATATATACATATATATATATATATATATATATATGTATATATATATATATATATATATATATATATTTATACACAAATTATAATTCAATTTATTTATAATTTTATTATATGCAGTCAAATCTATATTGTATGTGCAATGTAAAATCATTTGAATAAAAGACAAAAAAAACAAAATTATGAAGCATAAGTTTAGAGAGATATTAATGTAAGGAATATAAAATAATATCTTATAACTTAGTCTTAATAAAAGAAAATAAAATAAAAAAGTTTCTGATAAGTTTTAAATTAATATCAGAAATAATTTGAATTATATCAGAATTAATATCAGAAATAAATAAACATGTAACGATGCATTCCGGTGCATCGTTACGATTCCCGGCATGACATCCGCCGGAAGCTGCCGCCCGGCAGAACACCCGCCGGGCAGAGGCAGGGGCGCGTTGCGCCCACCTTTTTAAAACTGCCGAAATTCGAAATTCGGCCGAACATCGCCGAACAGAGTCGATGTGGCCCGAACCGTCGACCGGCGAAAGCCCGCGTTCGGCTCCTACCCGAATCCCTCCGAACGGGCCCGACCGTACCGTTTTCCGAAAACCCGTTCGGAAGGGGTTATACCGTCACGCGCCGACGCGGGCAATTAGCTCGTATAAAAAGGGCCACATTTTTGACTCTAATCACATCTCTCCGATCCGCTTGAAGCAGTACGCTTCCAAAGAGCAATCCTTGAGAAATCCTACCAAACGCACAGAAAGAGCTGAAGACAGAGGTGGAGCGTGCTCCGTCTCCGAACGAGAGTTCTCGATTCTGACGCCAAAAGTGCAATCCGCCTAATCCGCAGCTGCAACCCTCACGGAAGGTGGAGCTTGAGCCGCCCCGGATCGGGAGTTACCGATCCAGCTGCATCGCGCAATCCATCCTTCGCGAATAAAAACCAGGGCTATACGCACCGAACATCGTTGCATGCATCACATGCAATTACGTGAGCGCATCTAAAAACAGACGCATAAACACCGCCGCGTTCAAGCGCATAGGCGATCTACACGCGGACTTTAAATCGCGAAATAAATAGTACGGCGAAAATCATCGTCGATTCCGAGAACCGAAGCATTCTCGGAATCTCGGGATTCCCCGCAGAAAAAGCGCCGCAAAAACGCGCGCCGTCTCGCGCAATAGTAAACACCCGCCGGCGTGCGACAGCGAGGCCGAAATTAATCCACATTAATATTCGGTTTAATTACGCGAACCACGCAACCTGTATACGAACTTTTATGACCACGCCCGCGCTCACACACTCGTCTACACATTTACACACTCCGACTCTGTACACACTTTCATACAAACGCAATAAACACAATTATACCACACACACCGCGTATTTCATTTAAAGACACCTAGCACCGGCGATCTATCCGCGCTAAGAAAAACGTCCGGAAATACGACCGTTACAAACATATGTATCCGTTTTGCAATTGCTCTAGTTAATTATAGTATAATTGTTTTATAATTCTAATTCTCTTTATTTCTCTTCTATATTAGGTAATTAAAATGAAGTATATATGTGCAACCATTCTTTACGTTTTGTTATCTCGTCTTGAACATCTTTGCATAATACCTCCTCAAAATTTTTTCTTACAAATTCGCTTATCTGAAAATAAATTATATTTATATTTATTAGAAATTTTATGCCATATTATATGTAATAAAAGCATGATAGAACAACTTCAATTAAATATTTCAGCATTGTATATAAAACTAATTTGCTAACAATCTAAAATTAATATAAAACGTATAGAAAAATATATAATTATTGCTATTATTCGAAATAAATTCTCGTTTTCTGTTTATATTATTTGAAATCTTTGAAAGTACATTTACAATGTATATCTAACAAAAATAAATATATTTTTCCATTTGAATTATGAAATTTTAATAACAATAGCATTCTGTCGAAAAAAAATTTAAAATCTATTTTATACTAATATAGAGATAAATAAATTTAAATATAAATAAATAAAGGTGTAAAATTTAAAATAATCAAACTTACCTCGTTAAGTTTTCCTTTAAAATACATGTTGTTAATTATACCATTTAATACTCTACTTGCATCGTAATTTCTATAAAATAATAAGAGATTTATAATGAATAAATACAAAAACTAATATATGTTTACAATTAATATTAAACATGTTATTAAAATACCTTGGCACTATTTTTTTATAATTTGTTAATATAGTCGATTACTATATTATTCTTCGTATGTTTCTTGATAATAGAAGAATAAATTATATATTAATCATAAATTTTTTTAATGAATTTTCTGGTATAGATATATTCAAAAAATTAATTATAATATCAAGATTTTCAGAACAAACCAAATATATCATAGCTTCTCTGTCTGATTTATTTACATATATATCGTATAACTTATTCCAAGTAGAAGCGTTTGCATTCATCAAGCCATTACAATATGTCCAGTCTTTTAAATTTGGCGAAATTCTATAACACATATAATTTAAAAAATCAATATGTGTGTATAATTACACATCCACGTGTGAGTATGTGTGTGTATGTGTATGTATGTGTCTAAAATTCTAATAACTTATTAAATAAATAAATGTCATATGTCATATGTATTTTCATATTAATTTATTAGGACTAATTAGAACTTAATGAATAGAATAGAATGTGTAAAAACCTATGTGTTGTAGGATCTGTGAAATAATCATTCAGTTTAACAGTGGCTATTCTCTTGCATTCGGAGTGACCTAAAAGACCTACCTGCCCATTTTAAAGCTTCGATTCTTTGAAGTTTCGTAAAATCATTCTCAGTAGGATTTTCTTCGTATCCTACGTGCTTAATAAGTCCATCGAAAATTTTGAGTATATATGACTAAAAAAATTATATAATTTTATATCGCTTTATAATTGATATATAAATATTTATCTTAGGAATTAGATATATATGTACACACAACACACATACACACACACGCACACACATATATTTCTTTATTTTAAGTGATTATATTACAATATTTTGAGATTATTTACTTTGAGAATTTCATTTTTTGGAACTTTGTAAATATCTTCTGTAAGTTTTAATATTTTAAATTTAAATTTTCTTGAAGATCGCCAGTAAATAAATAAAAGAAATAGTTAAAATCGATTAACACTGGCAATATTTATTGAGGTAAAAAATCACAATCACGACATTTCGACCATAGATTTTGGTCCTTTTTGAATGAAAGTAATTAAATTAACAGTTTTATCGTGAGAAATATTTAACTCAATAAATATTGCCAGTGTTGATCGATTTTAACTACTTCTTTTAATATTTTAAATATAGAATACCACGGTATAAAATCTGTTTCTTGCAACAGATAACTAATAATATTCAGAAACATTATGATATCATGTTTTCATTATTTATCATCATAAAATGATAAGCGTCATCGATGATTTGAGCACGATTGAGTACATGGATTTTCATATAATTGTCAGATTTAAGATAATCCACAATTTTTTACCAAATGGAAGAATCATAATTAACACGATAATATCGTATTGTCAAATTAAATAATATTATAAATTACGATAATAATTATTAAATAATTTAATAATAGAAAGATAATTTAATTTATATTTTTTAATAAATTATATAGACACACACACACACACACACACATACACACACACACACACACACACACACACACACACACACACACACACACACACACATATACACATATATATATATATATATATAACAGCGTGTGTCAAAAGTTCCGGGACGGCTGGATAATTTGAAAAATACGCGTCACAAATGATCTAGACAAAAGTTGTATGGTTTCTAGGGGGACATAAGATGGCACCATTGGTTTGACCTTGAAGAGTTATTTGAAGGTCACATGAAGGTCACCTTCAATTTCTTAAATGGAACCTACATTTTCTCATTACATATTCTTGTAGCTTATCTCGAGAGCTTTCCAAAACACTATAATAAAATATTTTTTTATTAAGTACTTTTCGAGTTATGAGGCTTGAAATCATTTCTTAATTTAACATAAACCGTAATATATCTAGTAAAATATTCATTTTTCGATTATCTTGCATTAATACTTTTATGTACAAAATAATGAGAGAAATCATTTGGTGTAAAAAAAAACACATAGTTGTTTCAAAGAAAAAATATGTAATTGTTAATTGCAAATTACATATCTTTTCTTTGAAACAACTATGTGTTTTTTTTACACCAATTGATTTCTCTCATTATTTTGTACATAAAAGTATTAAGGCAAGATAATCGAAAAATGAATATTTTACTAGATATATTACGGTTTATGTTAAATTAAGAAATGATTTCAAGCCTCATAACTCGAAAAGTACTCAATAAAAAAATATTTTATTATAATGTTTTGGAAAGCTCTCGAGATAAGCTACAAGAATATGTAATGAGAAAATGTAGGTTCCATTTAGGAAATTGAAGGTGACCTTCATGTGACCTTTAAATAACTCTTCAAGATCAAATCAATGGTGCCATCTTATGTCCCTCTAGAAACCATACAACTTTTGTCTAGGTCATTTTCCTCTGTGATGCGTATTTTTCAAATTATCCAGCCGTCCCGGAACTTTTGACACACGCTGTATATTGTATATATATATATATATATATATATATATATATATATATATGATACTTTTATCTTATTTTAATATTTGTCATATTTATATATGCGCGTTGAAAACTTATATTGTGCATTATAAACAAAATTATTAAAAAGTATATAGGAAATAAACAGAAATAAAATTAGAAATCTATAGAAAATAATTATAAATAAAAATATACAACTGTTGATTCATAAATTTTTTTGATACTTATTAATTATAAAATTACAGAGTAATGGTATTTATAAATAAAAAAGTATAAATATTTTAAAATTTGAATTAAATAAATATCTAATATACTAAATATACTCAACCATTTGTTGTAAATTGACAATAATCCAATCATTTGGATCAATTCCATCATTCGTTATATTTTGATCTTGCGGTTTTAGTCATTGAGTGGGTAAGGTATTAGAAAAATCAGGATTTGATTGCATAGCAAAAGTCAAAGGTATCCACCATTTATTATCATTGACGTTTTCATTTTTCGGAACGAAATATTCTTGCGTTAATATTATCTCATTAGTATCTTTCTTTCGGGTCACATGAACTACAGGGAAATCCGATTGTTTTATCCAAGTATCCATTACCTCTTTCAATCTGTAAACATTATGCGAGACATCTGATTTATCTAGCACTGCCTGCAAAAAGTTCCATAAGTCGTCGCAAGTAGCCGAACTGAAGTGACTAAATTATGAAAGATAAAAAATAGATTTGTTAAGAAAATTATAATGTAATAAGTTATATAAGTATAGATAAATCCACAATTAATACTGTCAAATATATTTTTTATCGACGCACTCAAAATGTAATAATGATTAATTTTTTCATTCTGAAAAAGATAGAAAATATTTATTAGATTAGATTAGAAAATATTTTGTAAAATTCTTAGGGATTATTTGTAAACGCATGCTATTTTTATCATTCATAAATTATTGTTGTTTAGAAGCTTTAGTAACAAAATTTTTAATTTTCTGATAATTGTTAAGTTATTATTTATTGTTATTTATTGTAATTGTTGTTTATTGAAAAATGTAAAATATTATTCATTTACAAAATAAAGTTTTGATGTAAAAAATAAAGTTTCACTTATATAGTGTTTTATTGATAGATTTATTATATCAGCAATTTAACGATAAAACATTTTAAACTTTCTACTTTTAAGTTGAATTATTATTACACTGAATACTTCACCAAAAAAATGTCTAATGTGAAAAGATAAACATATTACTTACTGTGTGTGTAAATATTTAATAAGATTATTTCGAAGAATCTCGTCGGAAATTATATGTTGTAACATATTTATACCCATTATAGCGGGTGCTGCAATAATAATAAATAAATTCAAAAATTGATATACATAAAATAATAATAATAAATTATATTATCATCCATAAATTTGTGAACATAACTAATAAAAGAGAACATTAAAGATAAAGATTGTTAAACATATATATCACTAGTAAAAAATTTTTCTTATTGTTTCTTCTTTTTCTTTAGATCACCTATGTTCGGAAACTTGAAAGATAACTTATTTATTTTATCGTACCCTTGCCGTAATTAGTATCGGAGAAGAGTGATTCAATTTCATTGGGTCTATTGACTTCTAATATAATTGAGCTCATACTCATATGAATATCCTTCTGAAGAATTGTTTGCTGAATATTAACAACAAAGTATTCCATTATTCGTCAATCCTCGAACATCTGAAATGTACATAAGTTTTAATTTCAATTAATTGAAATTGGATTGAAATTAAAAATTTAATATTAAATTAATAATAAAATATCAGTCACTAAGATACAATATATAATAATAATAATAAAGAAATCTGTCTTAAATTCCTAAGTAATCATAATCTAAAATTATTAGCAATATATTTTTTCATATAGAAAGTTACTAATCATTATATTATATTTTGTCATATAGAAAGTTACAACTGTATTATATTATATTTGAATTTAATTGAAACGTTTTTGCGAAATCTATTGCAAAATTTGCAATAATGAACCTACCTGATTGAGAATATATTCTTCGAAGAACGTCGTCAAACTCTCACTTAACCATACATGAGACCACCATGATGGAGTGACTACATTACTAAGCCATTGATGTGCCATTTCATGTACTATTGTCTCCGCTACATCTAGTTTAGCAGATATTGAAATTTTCATTGTATGCAAAACTTGTTTCACTAAAAATTATTATATAAATACAGTTATACTCATGTCAAAATATTTTATAATTACGTAATCTATTGTAAAACATTTTACTTAAAATAATTATAATATATAAATGTGGAAGTTTATATATACAATAATTATTTAAAGTAATGAATTTTTCTATATTTAAAAAATGTATAGATATACAGAGAAAATATGTGTATATATGTATATCTAATTTATATTTTAATTTATATTTTAAAATTATATCTTTTCAACTTTTGTGGAATCCAAAATAGAATTCAATTATATCTTTATTCTATTTGTGTATCTGTGTGCGTGTGTGTGTGTGTGTGTGTGTGTGTGTGTGTGTGTGTGTGTGTGTGTGTGTATGTGTGTTTATACATGTATAAACGCCCGCGTGCGTGCATGCATATACTTTATGTTTTATAAAAGTATTCCACAGAAAAAAATTTAATTTTGAATTCAATTTTAAATTATTTACATAACCAAACAATTTTTAAAGTACCCCTTTCAATAAAAAAATAATTTTTATTATTTTAAAAACTAAAACAATAAATAATAATTATAATTTCCTGTAAAATAAGTAATCTATTCTTTTGTATGTGAAAATCTATAGTTATAATATTCAATATTAATTAAGCAGAATTAATGATTTGACAAAAGTTAAAAAAATTTTGAATTTATATGACACAAGACATCTGAAATGCTTTATTCTATTGATATTTTTTTTAAATTGCATATATTACACAAAAATAATAAGTCCCCAATTTTCCATTGCATTAGATATGAATCGTGGGAGTACTACAAGATCCATTTTTGGAACTTCAGAAGTGCTGTTGGTGTATTCTGTCAATAGCCTTTTAGATTTTTAAACAACTTCTTGTGCAAATTTTGTATGCGGCACTACTTTCGATCTGCACCATATATTAATGGTCTCATCTTCAGTAGGAACGCGAACGTAATCAACCACCACAAATGCTACGAGATAAGTTGACATGATGGGAGACGTGTCAAAGTGCGTCCATATCATGCCATTTTTATTATCCTCCGATTTTTCCCGTATTGGCATATTGGATAGAACTGTATAATTTTGATGATGTTTTATAGAGATATCGAAAGTAGCTTTTAATGTTGGCTCGTCCCAACATGGAAACGCTCGTCGCGTATAAGTCGGTTTGAAATGCGTTGCAGCCAACCACCTACCACATTTCAATGACACGCTTTTAATTATGATACATTTTTTGTCGTGAATAGGAATAAATTTTTTGTCATGAATAGGAATAAGTAAAGTGCTTAAATAAATATGGAAACGCGTAAATGTGATTCATTCTTCACGTTCATTATAGTATATAAAATTTTTGCATATTATTAACATATATTATTAACATATATTATTAACATATTATTAACATATATTAATGCTATTGAATAAAGATATATAAACGCTATTGAATAAAGATATAAAAATGTAAACGCCAATAAAATTTATCAAATGCGTACGTCTACCTCTTCAAAAATCTGTTAATCTTATTTTGTTAAATTTTATTGAACATAATTATACGACAAAATTATACAATCGTTCCAAAAATTTTCTTCAAACATTTTAGAATTTAAAAAAAATTGAAGGTAAAATTTTACTCCGTAATTCTATGGAAAATATAAAATATGAGGAATCATATTACATTAATAAGAAAATACATGGCATTATATAGAGAAGTATTTAAAATATTGTGTGTGTGTGTGTGTGTGTATACAGGGTGTCCCATTTTAAGTGTCCACCCCAAATATCTCTCTCATTTTTTATTTTAGAGAAAAATGGTTCAGATATGTTTTGTATGGTTTCGAGGGGGCCATAAGATGGTATCATTGATTTGACCTTGAAGAGTCATTTGAAGGTCATGTAAAGATTACCTCAATTCTTTTAAATGGCACCCCTTATTTTTTATTACATATTCTTGTAGCTGACCTCGAGAGCTTTCCAAAACACTATAATAAAATATTTTCTCGTTAAATATTTTTCGAGTTATGCGGCTTGAATAATTTCCTAATTCTACATAAATCATAAAATATCTACTAAAATATTCATTTTTCGATTATTTTACCTTAATACTTTTATGCACAAAATAATGTGAGAAATCGATTGGTGTAAAGAAAACACATAGTGTTTCAAAGAAAAAAATATGTAATTGTTAATTGCAAATTACATATTTTTTCTTAAAAATGATGAATATGAGATACGAATCGTGCGAGTACTACAAGATCCATTTTTGGAACTTTAGAGGTGCTGTTGGTGTATTCTGTCAATAGCCTTTTAGATTTTTGAACAACTTCTTGTGCAAATTTTGTATGCAGCACCAATTTCGATCTATATATTAATAGTCGCATCTTCGATAAAAATGCGAACGTAATCGATCACTACAAACGCTACGAGATAGGAAGACATGATGGGAACGGCTAGTAAGAATTCGATTCGAATTCAGCCGTTATTGAAATCCAATAATTTAAGTTACTCTGTCCGATTCGCGTATAGATACACGGAGTGTTGCGCTAATGCTTCGCATGAACTTGCCGCGAGGCACTACCGTATCTTGACCCGGATTGTTTACATTATAAACAAATATATCTCCAATAAAATGTAAAATATTAGACATTATGTAATTAAGTATTTAATCTGTATTTGATTACGATCCGGGCACACCAAGTTTTCATAACTTACTTCGATTTAAAGACTGCGATTTGAAAGTTGCGTACAATTTTTTTTTCAAATTATATACATTATATAAAAAATGTTTTAAGAACTAAAATAATCCTATAATAATTCTTATTAAATATTTTAAACATCAATTTTCTCTGAATAAATATAAAATGGGTTTTAATTTTTCTTAGGAGGATTTATGTATAATATTTCTATAATGTAAGATTGATATTTCATGGCAAATATTATATCAAATTTACAAATGCTCTTAAGTACTTGGCTAATAGTAATTATTGATTTCATATTTATTTTATATTTAGTTTTGATATTTTATTTTTTAATATTTTTTTAGGAAAATTATTTGTTGAAGTTTTATTTTTTAGAAAAATGATTTTGTGAGGGAAAATTATTGTAAATTACTTTTAAGGACTTTCTTCATTAAATATTTTGTTGCATACAAGGTAGAATATTCTTTATGTACGTGGCGTATTTTTTCTTACCTTTGTAAGAATTTTTTTCAAGGGATATACGTATTTAAGTTATTCACGTATTCATGTACATTCGTTCACAGTCACGTAATTCGCATTCATTCAGCAGTTATTTCGATATTTTATCCGCGACTTTTATCCATGTGCCGTATTAAGTTGATTCATAACTGAATAAAACTTAATCTACAACTTAATCTATAAAAACCATAATGCCGCTAATTTGCACGATAGTCATCAGAGTCATTACCGATCTTTCATCAAACTTCCAAAGCAATCGCTTTTCCGAAAATTAAGCAGTAATTCCATTATTTTTATCAATTTTTTTTTCTTTATATTTCATCTCTTCCGATATATATCCTATGGGAGATGTATAATCTCTTATCTAATTAGATGTCATACCCATGTCCAAACGAACACATACACACACACGCACACATATACACATGTTCATATGTAAATATTAGAGAATAATGCCTAATTATTATCTATTAATTGATTTTATCGTTATAAATTACGTTAATTACTATTCTCTGATTAATAATAAATTCACTCGGTAATTTTAATGAAATTTTGCATTCCATTTAATTAACTCCTTTCATCATCCCTACTTCTGAATTACACTAAGTCCTGTCTCCAGTAACAAGGATTAAATTTCTTTACCAAAAAGGGATCATTGAATGGATATAGGAACATATCATAAACAATGTAAAATCTCTCTTTGATGTTTTCGGCCTCTTTGACGGTTCGCTCGAATCGATCCTGCACCTAATCTCGGGAAGTGATTGTTACGCCCTTTCTTCTTTCTTTCTTCTTCGGGCTTAAGCATAATAATGTTGCACGATGTTATCATTTGTTATTTATCACTATAGCAAGATATTATCTCGCTTCCGTATGCCCATAATTTAGGAGGCGTAACATTCATATGTAATTATATGTAATTATATTCCTACTAAAATGTGATGCTCTATTATCTTCTTTTATCAGAAACATACGAAAATGCGAATCACATTTATCATCAGACTATCACATAATCACTGTAGTTCTATTACAATCAAAATAATAAAACAACTGCGCATTAGTACATTTATGCATTTAGTATATTTATTAGTATATTTATTACAAAATCCTTTTTTAAATGAGAAATTAATAATATGCATACGCAAAAAATAATTCATAAAAAGAAAAATATATAAATTATATTATTACAACGAATAGCTTATAGAAAGTAAAACGAGCGAAGTCAAATACCTTTCAATCTGTTCCATCGTTTTATTGTCGAGGATGAACCCGCTTATTATACTGATATATTCATTTATTATGTCACATCACATACGTCGAAGAAAGATATTACTATAGATACATTTCTTTCGATATTATGATTCTTTTATAATTATAGCTTATAACATGTTATCTTTTTACCCAAATAAATGAGAGTATAAAACACAGTTAAATTAAAATATGACACATATACACACGTGCACTTATCCGAATAAAATCGATCAAGCATGTAATTGCTATAAAAGCACGATGTTATATATATGCTTGATATTCGATTCACTTCCATCGGAAGAGCAAAGTTAGCAGATTTTTCCTCTGTAAAAAGAATTTATTTTCAAAAGTTTAATATTCTATTATTATATAGTAAAACTTTCGAAAGTATGTCAAACGTGTCCATCTGTGTTCTTTTCTCGTTATTAATTGTAGGCATATTTTCTCTTACCATAAATAATAATGTTACATCGTCAGAAAAACGGCCTTGCTGTAGAATGTTACATCGTCAGAAAAACGGCCTTCCTACAGATTTAGTAACATCGGTAAGTTAATTTTCAACGAATATGTAGAGATAAAAACTGAAATATTTTTATTTATTATAAAAAGAACCCTATTCACGTCATACACGTTTATTATTGTATATTATTATAAATTATCATATAACAATATCATTATAAACTTGTCGAAAAAAATTATTCCTTTTTCATTTGAAAGTACATAATAAAATTATTTTGAAACATTTTCTCTCTATTATTATAATTTTATATTAATTCATAGGTATTTACTTTAATGAGATGTCTACCAACGGAATCTCATTTGACTTTACTGCTGGGCGGAAATTACAATGAATTTCTTGTACACTCACATAATAATATGATACCCGTAGTATTGATAGATGAAACGAATCCTCGATTTGATGCCCTCCAGAAAGGTAAATATATAATTTTATGAAAAAATATATATAATTTTATGAAAAATATATATATATAATTTTATGAAAAAATATATATAATAATATCAAATGCTTCAAAACTGATGATACAAATAAAAAGGAAGTGATTCTATATAAGAAAATAAGTCGAAAATATATATATAGTAAATGTAGTAAAATTTTATTATATGAAAATTTGTTTCTTAGAAAAACGAATTTGATATTCAAATAGGCGTGCACTTAATTATTTTTAGTCTCAATAGCCTAATTATATGTTTTACTCATATTTATATTTTTTTGTATCAGTTCGGACAGCTTACTTTTGAAGATGATAAAAATTTGTTTTCTTTCTTCTTCTTTTCGAATCTTTATATTTCAAACTGGGCAATTAAATACACAGGTCTACAAAAAGCGCAGTAGGTGAATTGATGAATTTTTTGACGCAGAAAACAAAACTAGCTGCAAAATTTCCCCAGCACATCTTGTTTTCAAGTAATTTGTGATTAAATAATCCAAAAATGGCTATTTTGGTTAATTTCATAAATTTATTATGAGGAAACTTAATTTTTTAAAATATTTCTACTAATGGCATCATATAATACTAATCTTTACCTTTCAAATTTATTTTCGATTGCTACTGTACGATTTTATTTCGCTAAGATATACAAGTATAAAATTATCAGAAAATTTATGTTAAAAGAAATTTACATAGGCCTTAAAATAGGACAGCCGACATCTTGAAATTTGAAAAAGTTTACATCTGTCGGGTTTGGTTGTCAAAAAATATCCTGTAGAAATATATCTAATTAATTGTTACATTTTGATAAATTTTGATAAATTTTATATCTCTTCGTTGTGATTCTGTCCGCTACATTATATCTGTTATTTTTAATTTCAAAAAATGACAGTATTCAAAAATTTATGTTTTCATCCAAATTTTGATTCATGGTAATACAGAGAGATAACACAGTTGACTTGGAATGGCTTATTGGACGATTATGCATAACCAGTATTATAAATTATATGTATATTTCAGCGAAAAAAAAACCGTACAGCGACAATTGAAAGTGAATTTGAAAAGTGAAGATTAATTCTATACGATGCTATTGGCAGAAATATTTCAAACAATTAAGTTCCCGTATAATAAATTCATAAAATTAGTCGAAATAGCCATTTTTGGACTATTTAATCAAAAACCTGACGCATTGGAGAAATTCTGCGGTCAGATTTATTTTCGATGTCAAAAAATTTATCAAATTACCTACTGTGCTTTCTGTAACTAAACAAACCTAAAATTTCGCAGGTCTGTGATATTAATATATTTTAACAATTTAATTAAAAATAAAAACTTATATGTGTATAATAATAATAATACTCTTTATTCCCTTGCGGGGTACAGATGCGGACCTCCGCTCCGCTCACATCTTTTCTTATATAATCTTACATCTACAGCCTTAATCTACGCTCGAGAGAGAAAGAGACGCATTCCATTCATTTCATCCACTCTCTTCTCATTCATTCATCCGGACCTCTGTTTCCGCTGCATTTTCTTTTCTTACTTTCAATCACTCCATCCTCCTCCATACTCCCTTTCCTCCCACCCTCTTCCATCCCTTCCTTCATTTTTTCCAAATCTTTCATCCACCTTTCCCCCTCACCTTCCTCCCCCAGCACCTCATACACCATCTCTTGCCAGCCTCTTTCTATTCCCCAGTCTGTACACTCCTCCCATATATGATCCCAAGTCTCCCCCCCCCCTTTACAAACCCTGCACTTCCTTCTTTCCTCCCTTTCCCAATATTTACCTCCCCTCATATCATCCCCTAATCTGAACCTTGCTACTCTTTGCCATCTTTCCTCTGACCATCCCTTCCTCAAATATTCCGGAACCCCCTTCCCCTTTACCTTACCATACCATTTATTGAATTCCGATTTCCTTATTTTTTCCCATCTTTCCTCTTCCTGCCACCTTCTCTCCCTCACCACCAAATCCTCTCCTCTCAACTCTCCTTTCTCCCTTAAACTCTCCACCACCCTCAGCTTCTATCCCTTTTTCCACAAAAAATTCTCTCCTTTCCTCTTCCCACTCTCCCATCACTTTCTCATCCTTTGCTCTCTTCTTTACTTCTCCACAACATAACCTGGCTAACTCTCCCCCTCCTCCTTCCTACAATTTCCTTTCATATCCCCACGCTCTCAAACCTGCTCTCCCTCTTAACTTATCCTTCTGCAACTCTTCCCTTACCATATATCCCGGCGTATACCTCCTCACTCCAACTACCCACTTCATGTATCTAACTTATATGTGTATATATATATATATTTTTTTTTTTACGAATCTATTTGTAATCGTAATAATTAATCTTCAAAAAACTATTTTTTTATTTTTAATTATCGTAACTCAAAAAGAAAGTCTCCTAAATATAACGATATTTATATAAATCTTTCTTTATCATTTTTGAGCCGCAGAGATTTCAAAACCTATATCGCGTTTATTATAAACAATTAAATTATAAGAATACGAAAGATGCCAAATTATAATTGATTAATCAAATAATATAATTCAATTTTTTTATATATAGTAAATGAAAATATATATAGTAAATGAAAATGATAATTATATATTATATATTTTTTTCTGCACACAGAAAACAAAAGACTCGCCATGGGCAAATCCAGAAGGATTTTATATCCTAGTCGATAAGCAAACCGACACTCGGGGTTGCATAAATGCTCGCTCATACCTTTGGACTGCTTGGGAATATGATTTGCTCTCGATCATATTCATATGCATCGATCCAAACGATGGAATTGTTCTTTACACGTTTAATCCGTATTCGAACACTGCGCCAGACAGCTGGTACGAAGTGGAATATATCAAAGGTCGAGCGGGTTATCCTTGGATAATATTAAAGAGGAAATTCGTACACGGTATCACTCTTTTTCTCACTATTTTACTTTCTTCTTTTTTTTATCTAAAGAAACATATTAGCGCGCAAATTAAAAATTAAATATATTGAGAAAATCCCGCGGAATCCTTGGAAAATGGCTTTCGGTCAAATGTTTCGAAACTTTGCAAAAAAATAGTTTTCAACATGTAGATTAAAAGTGTCCATGGGCATGAAGCTCTAAAAATTCGAGATTTTCAGCTATAGCCATCCAAAGTGGTAGATTTTTGAATTTCTGCAGCATATTCCGAAGTTCGACAACGGAAGCTTATCTTATTTGGGTGAGGTTTTAAAAAAAAGACAGTTTTGTTTTAACTGACCAGACCAAAAAAAAAAACACAAAAAAATAAGAAAAACAAAAAGAGCAAAAAAAGCAAAAAAGAAACAAAAAAATAACTCTGCCATCGACAGTTCCAAATCTGTATTTTAAACGAGGAGAATAAAAGAACAAATACATGTATATATTTTCAATTTGTCTCACACACACACACACAATTAAGGCAGTCTACTTAGCACAAAAGATCATAAATCAGATAGTCTTGATAATTCTCATGCTTTCTACATGTCTGTGTTTCTTAAACTTTGAGAACTTATACTTTCACTTATGCTTTCACTTTCACTTTTTACCAACGTAAAAAGCTTTACATAGGGTGTTTTGGAAAACTCTCGATCGCAACAATACAAATATGTAATCAACAAATAGCGAAGCTCTGGCCCAAAAATCAATCTTATTGGTTCAAACTCCTTCAAAAATTTTTTGGATGGCTGTAGCTGAAAATCTCTAATTTTTAGAGCTTTATGCTTATGGAGACTTTTAATCTACATTGAGAATTATCTTTTTGTGAAGTTTAAAAGCCTATGGAGATTTTTAATCTACATTGAGAACTATCTTTTTGTAAAGTTTCAAAACATTTGACCAAAAGCCATTATTACATCCGGTGGACTTCACGATTCTGTTCTTTCATCGAAACGTTTCTTAGAAGTAATCAACGATTGGGTTGAATTTAAAATAAGGAAAACCCAACTCGGATAAACAAGCAAAGTGGCCAGTCGAGATAGCGCTACGAAAATTTAAATAAAATTTTAATTTACGAGCCTCGGAAATATAAGAAATTCAATCCATGCGTATCAATGGATCGTCTCAGAGACTTTGAAATAAGAGCCTTGGTCATCGGGAAATTGACCAAGAAAGTAAATACGAGCAGAGCCATAAAATTAATATCGCACGTGCGCTGGATCAATAGGCCATTCTCAATCAAATCGTAGGAGATAAAGAAATTAGGTCGCTCCCACTCTCTACTGGATGGTGAAGCCAAACCTTAAGAAAAAGGGCTTAACCAATTAAAGGTCTAAGACACCCTCTCTTTCTAAAAATCTAACTCCTTGGCCCTAAGAAGGGAGTAATAGAAATCATTTGATTCGATTTTCAAAGATTCCCACCATCCAGTAAGGAGGAGGAGCAACTACTTCAAAAAATGCAAGCGCAAGGCGCGAGCGCTCACTTGGTCTCTAGTTTATTAGTTCATTAAGTTCTCTAGTTCATTAGTTCACTTGCGTTCACTAATAAGTACTAACTAGCATTATAAGCAGTACAGTTGATAGCTCCAATCAAGATTCAGTTATTCAATTTTAAAATTATATAGCCTCGGGGATCCTTTTCTTGCATTATGCAGTTAAGTTATTAATTTGTTTTATATCACAGTGAAAATGATTTTGTTAACATTTAATCGTGCATCATGTGAAATTTCTGATGAACATCTTTATTACTCGGCTCTTCATGTTATCAACCTCCGACTTCAGCCATTGTAATTTTATCAACGCATTTATTTTTGTGATTCCAACGAATTGTGAGTAAATTTGAGCAACTTTTCTCCCTTTTCCATATCTTACTATCTTATAATTTAAACATCTATGTCTAACAAATAATTTTAAACAGTTTAATAATCATTAAATCTTTACTAATTACTATCAATCAATCAATCAATCCTTGTTTCACCTCTCCTCCAGCCTCATTCCTTGTTCTTCCTAATTCGCCTAGAATCTCCGAAAGGCGATTCGCGTATAAATTTCCTACGATCTTTGTCTATTCGTTCAGGATTTCAGCATTGGAATTCACGAATATTTCCTTTATTTATTCGCTCTGGATTTCAGCATTGGAATTCGCGAATAAATCTCCTATGAGCCTTATCCATTCGTTCAGGATTTCAGCATTGGAATTCACGAATATTTCCTTTATTTATTCGCTCTGGATTTCAGCATTGGAATTCGCGAATAAATCTCCTAAGATCTTTATCCATTTGTTCAGGATTTCAGCATTGGAATTCACGAATAATTTCCCTGTTCGTTGAGAATCTCCGCAAGGCGATTCACGAACATTTCTTTGTTCGTTGAGAATCTCCGCAAGGCGGTTCGCGAACAATTTCCCGTTCATTGAGAATCTCCGCAAGGCGGTTCGCGAACGATTCCTTAATTTTCATTTCCTTTTAATTGCCTTTTCTGATTTATTTATCAACAATTCGTATTGTTTTCTATCTTTATATTTCGTTTAAGCCCTTTTTTATATATATTTAACTCTTCATTTCTATTTTTCTTTACTCCCTTTCATTTTCTTTTAATTTCCCATTCCTTGCATTATTATTATTATTTATCCTTTCTTTTTCTTTCTTCCCCTTTATATTATTTCCTATGTATTATCACTACTTTGGGAGAAATCATTGAAATAGATGAATAATTTTCGAACTTAGACATGGCGAATCGTTTATCTTAATTTTATTATTATATTTTAATTTGGACCTGTGTTTCGCCGAATTTAGAAAATTTTAATTTTAATTATAACATACTCGAGAATATATACATACACGCACACATACTCACTCATGCATAACTATAACTGCTAAGATGTATTTTTCTTTCCTTATATTTTTTTTTTTATAATATATGTATTTTTTAATTTAATGTAGAATTTAATTATTTAACCCGTTCTCTTCCCTAAATCCCGAGATCGCACTAGGTCCTATCCCGCGTAACAAGGATTAGATTCCTTTACCGAAAAGGGACCACCGAACGAATAGGCGTAAAAACGCAGAGTTAAAGAGACCTTCGGTCGCTGACCTGTATCAGGCCCTTCACATTCGTTCGACCCGATCCATACACACGCCCGAATAAAGTGTGTCACGGGGTAAGTAAGTTACGTTCTTCCATACAGCCCATCCTTTCAGGGTCCGGACGTAACACCATTTTCCATAAGAATTTCGCGGGGTCCTTTTGGCTCGGATAATAATAATTAGAAATTAAATCGAAATTATTAAATTAGAGCGACAGCGCGATAGTTGGAACGCAAGGAAGAAACAACTTTCTGCTTTTTGATTACTTATATATTTTAAATTTAAAAAAATTATATTAACAAAAGACGAACATTTTATCTCTTGATCTCTCTTCAACGCGACGTTATCAATATGCGTTACAAAGTATTGACCCATTAAATTATAAAAATATATATCCTCAACGCATACGTAACGTAAACACATTGTTTCTAATAATTCTTCAAATTATTCTAATTATAATGTGGAAAATTGTTAAGTACTAATAAATCAGATTATGCGTTTTTTTCACAAATTGATAACTGTATGTTGTTGTATATATTTCATGTTGGCTTGAGATATACTTGAGATATGCTTACCAGATCTCTGCGAGATACAAATTAATGTTACCTATGCATCGAGGACATATATTTTAATAATTTAATGCGTCACTGTACAACATTTTCTAACGCATATTGTTAATGTCTGAAAAAAAATCAAAAGATTGTTCGTTTCTTAATGTAATTATTTTTAATTTGAAATATACGAATAATTGCAAAGAAGGAAGTGTTATTACTTTCGCGCGCTCCAATTATGAGGCTATAGCTCTATTTTGCGTAAAATTAATTTTCAATAATATAAAGTGTCTTAATATAAGGTGAAATTTAATTTATCTATTACATGTTATATTATATTACATAAATACTTTTCAAATAAATTTACAAGATATATACTCTCTTTTTCTAATTATAATCTAATGCATTATTAATAAAACATATTATTAATTTTGTGTAATGCTTAGAAAAATGTATCAAAAAGTTTGAACAGCTATCATATTGAACAGCTTCTATATTTTTAGACAGCGATTCATGCATAGATCTGGATTTTGATAAAACGACGACTTTGAACAGATATCAAATTCGATTAGGCGTCATTGAAATGGAACCGTACGTCAAAATCAATTTGAGTTTACTGAAACAAGAAAGATTTCATGGTGTAAAGAGTGATATCATTAAAACGCTTTTAAATAAGCTGAATATAAGTCGTGAGATCACCATCTTTCGTAGAGATATTTATTCGTTCTATCATATAGAACCGAATACTTATAAAAGTTTGATGACCCTTGCAAATGACAGAAAAATAGACATTACCATCAATGCAGGATTACTCGTAATAGTTGGATTACTCGTGATATGTTTGGTAACTTACATAGTTTTTGTGAAAAGCGTGGGATATATAAAGGCTGGACTAGAAGTTATAAGACTCGTGGTCTGCGTAGGATTTTTATATTCACCCAAAATGAATTCCGTAAGAATCTTCATATGTATGGTGTTAATTTTGTTCCTTAATATAAATGCTCTCTTCTAAAATTACTTGTCAATTTTACTTACTGTGCCGGTCTATGATCGCGATATCGACAGTATACAAAGTCTCAAGGTAATGGAAAATCTCATTTTCTTGATTTTCCTCCTTAGATTTATATCCCAATTTTCGCTAAATTAATAATAGGTTTTGTATGTATAGTGTGTCTTCAA